CTTCTCGGATGGGATTTTCTCACCTCATGCTCGTCTATTTATCCTTTTTTGACTCCCTCCCACTACCAACTTCCCTCCCTCTCTCACTTGCTCTTCAGAAAACTGAGGGCGCCTCATTGAGGGGCTTCAATTCAATAACATTTGAGATGTATTTGAAGTTACGGTCAAGGGCTGTTGAGTGGCCTCGTTTAAAGCAAAGCATGTGAACAAAGACCTCGGCTGAATACACTTACATAGGTCTACAGTTAACTACACAAGTATTTTATTCATTATCATTTAATAAAGTAGAGCTGCAAGCATAATGGTAGAAAATGATCAATTTTATAAGCAAAAAGCACTCACAGATTTCACCTTTCAGTTCACAAAAGCCTTTATGCAACTGCTGTTTTAGGTTTGTCATGCTTTTAGAAATTGTTAGATAGTGTCTGTGGGGGCTGTCTCTTGAGCATCATTCCTACACTTTGGTACTTTTTAACTTTTATGATTTTGTCTTTCTATGAATGTCCTCTCTGTCTGTAACTTTTCTTTTGAGAAAATACCTTTCTTCCAAAATAATATCTTGTTAAAGAGCACGAGATACTTCTTAGATTATCATATCAGCATTGCATTACAACAATAACCCTACATATTTAATGTCAGCCTGATACATAGAACATAATAACAAATACAGTAAATATGTATAAATGCAGCAAAACAATAATATAGCTGTAACCCGGACTCAGTAGCTACCTTTTCCCCGAGCTGTTAACAGATCAGATGATGATTGGTCCGTGTCCCTACAGGTGTACAGCAGCATGGAGCATCTGTCTCAGCTGGAGCAGAAAGCTACGACCTCTGTGTCCCGGCGGGAGCACAAGGGCCCGCGGGATGACAAGGTCACCAAGAGAGAGAGCCTGGGCAGCTTGAGCATGAGAGACAAGAGCTGGAGGACCGGGTCCCCCGAGATGTGAGTGGAGATCATTATCAAATGAGGGCTCCTGAGGTGGGGTGTTCAGTATAGTAAAGGGACAGTTCACCACAAAATCAATCAATGTTCTGACCTGTTGTGCTATGTATCATTCCAGATTGTTTTGGTAGGAGTTGCCGAGAATTGAAGATATAGACAGTAGAGATGTCTGCTCTTCAATACAAAAAGCATCAGATTGTACTCGCCTTGTGGTGCTCAAAGCGCCCGAAAAATGTATTTGAAAAACGGGTATTTTTCCGGAAATCCTGACCTGGTTTCTCAAGATAATCCACAGATTTTGTTGTGAGCAGTTCTGTGTACGAGCAATTTTCCCTCTACTATATCACCGTGCAGAAGAGAGTTCGAATTTACTCATGGACATGAAACTTGTGCTCACTTGTTTGCAGGTGTAGTTCAGAGATACAAATACTACATGAAACTGCTCAAAACAAGGTCTGTCGATTATTTTTGACTACTTTGGTCATTATTTCTTAGAAAGATAATCCTCCGGCTCTTCAACTCACAACAGAGCACTTTCAGATTGATAAAAAGCACGGCAGAGGAAACATTTAGTTTTATTATTTTGGGGGGGACTGATCCTTTAAGACGAGTTTGTTCAGAAGGTAGTTTCCTGAAGTTATTTTTCTCTCTCTGCAGCATTGCTGTCACATATCCAAGTGTGCCGGCATAATTTTTGCTTTCTATCTCTCTGACACCAATTTTGACACTTCTTGTATAAAAAGATCTTTGTGCGAGAGCTCACACTCAACAGGCATCAGATCCCACATCTGCAAAGTTGGGAAACTAGTTTGGTGAAACTGGATGGATATGACTCACAGAAACACAATATGCCTCTGATAAGTCACTTTTTCAAATTGGTTGATAAATATGTAGCAGATTTCCTCACTCAAATCTATCTAGTGCCTATTTTTACAATTAAAAACACAAAAGGAGAATAACTATTGAATACAGGAGGTTTAATGCGACTGAATGTGTACCTTTCATTGTGAAGTTAATTTACAAATATAAGTCTACTGATGTAGTAAAAATCTGTCTTACTCAGATAAAGAATATTTATATTGGATTGGAAAGTGACTTCTGTATTTGGTGAACATTATTCTGCTTTGTTGCTTTGCGTGTCGTGTCTCGGAGCAGCTAACAAAAACTACAATTTGCTGAGCCCAGACACATTGTTGACGGACACATTTCTGATTGAGAGCATAGAGGCAGAAAGGGATTCCTATTACTTCTCATAACTCCATTTCACCCCAATCTTCAGGAAGCATACGGCTGGACTTCAATCTCTTCGCGTTCATATGTAAAATAAAATCATTCATGCATACATTCTGCATTCATAATAGTAAGAAAACGTGATACGTGAAGGTGGCTCATCATTTTCTACCTTACATATTGGATTTTCACTTTCCCATATCAAGTACGAAATATTAGTATCTCTAGGCTATGATTGCTTTTTGGCTACAGCTCATTACATTCATTCATTGCTTTAATTAAATGTGTTAACTAACAAAAGTATTTTTACATTAAGTGTTACTCACTCATGGCCGCAACTAACAATTATTTTCAAAATCGAGAGTAATCAATAAATATTTGGGCTATAAAAGGTGTGTCCTACCAGATTTTCAAAGTTCAGATTAATTTATATCTAGAACATTGAAATGCTTTGTTTTGTCAGATATCCCAAGATATTAAGTTTTATATGATATTAAACAGAGAAATGAAGGAAACATCCATATTTAAGAGGCTAAAAACAGCCTTTTCTGCAATTCTTGCATGATAAAATACTTAAACGATTAGTAGACTATTTGACAATTATTTTTCTGTGGACTGAATCTTTGATTGCTCTACTAATTGTTGCAGCTCTAGTTGCCATGCCATTATGCACAGACATTCAATATCCCAAGAGAGTATTTCTGCTGACTTTGGCAACCAACCAAGTTATTCATTGTTTCAAATCCAGGCAAAAACAAATATTATATTTTTTTCTGCCTTTCTGTGTGTTTATGTAGGTCAATATGTGTTCAATACTGCGCAAAGCCCTTTGGTCAAGTGGGGGCTGTCTTCAAACTGAATTATAGAACTGACTATATAACTGGCTTAGTCTAGTGGACCATCATTATCAAATGTGTGTTTTAAGTGAAATCCCTTGAAAACTATTGGACTGCTAATGATGACATTTGGTACACACTTTCATGTCCCTCTAAGGATGAATGCAAATCATTTTGGCCATCCCTTCATTTATATCAAGCGCCTTCATTAGGTCAAGATGTAAATCCGATTTATGACCAAATACATGTAAAACTAACATCAGCTTTAGTTGCACACTGTTTAGTGCTAATAAGCAAATGTTAGCATGCTACATGGTTCTCATCAGCATGTTAGCATGCTGACTTTAGCATTACCCTGAAAATAACCACTTTGTATAAGCACAGTCTTACTGAGCTGCTGTCATGGCTGTAGCCTCTTATTCCCTCGCAGGCAGAACACTGTGTGCATCATCTCATATGCATGTGTTTCTGTATTCTCTTGCAGGAAGCGCCTGTCTTGTTCAGAGTCCCTCTACATGGACGGGGATGCCAGCCCCCCTCTTGGTGCTCGCCGGCGCTTCTCAGCACTGATGGATACACATCGTTTTGCCTTGCCTCTAGACACTGAGCCTGACTTCCTGTCCCGCCAGGCACCCATCAGGGTCCGTGGAACCTCCCTGGATGGGACCAGCGTCCCCTCCCCGAGCCTCCTGGAGCAGAGGAACAGTCTGAAGGAGATCAACGGAGCAGGTGTGTGTGCAGGGAGAAGTATCGGAGGTAGTGAAAGGTAATGGGAGAGGAAAGAATAGGAGAGAAAATAGTCAAGAGAATAAATGGTAAAGAATAAAGCAGTCAGAGAAATCAACAGGAGGGCCTAAGAGTGGAGGAAGTGAAAAACCCTCCTGTAATACATTAGATGACTACTTCTGACTCAGTTGGACAAATCACAGCATTACGGTTTTCAGCTCTAAGTGCTACTTTAATCTTAACCCTTCTCTTGTGTTTCGGGTCAAAAGTGACCGAGTAACTTTGTTTTTGATCATAAATATTGTGTTTTTCATCCAATTGCCTCAAGACCTTATGTTATCCTCCACACTAGGCCTCTGAACATATACAATTGATGATAACCACTTATTCAACAGTGAAACACCCATGAACGCCATAGGAAATGAATGGGTATGAGTGTATTATGTTCAGTGGAAAACATCTCCACACACACACACACACACACACACACACACACACACACACACACACACACACACACACACACACACACACACACACACACACACACACACACACACACACACACTCTCTCTCACTCTCACTCTCTCTCACACACACACTTCTTGTGCTTATGTCCCCCCACACCTTCCAGACAAAACAATGTACAGTTACAGGAACCTCACACTTTCTCACGCTGTATGATACAATGCATCATACCTTCTCCCAGGTGCGAGCTCTGTGCCCCTCATGAAAGAAAAATCTCTCACTTTCTCGCAGTAAATGCCCCTCCATTACTGTCTCTTATGCAGTTATATTTGTGCCCTGCTCACATTTGACTCATGGACACAATGAGTAGGCAACCGATTAGAGGCTCTGGACAAATGTTTTGAACCAGATGAAGAGGACGATGTCTCAGAAATGGAAGACAACAGCGATCCAGACTATGAGCCTGACCAACAGTCAACAGACCAGGAAGAGGCCCCTGAGGGAGAGGCCCCAGTATCAGTGTCTTATTTTATGTATATACATCACAGTGAATGCAGTGAATGCTGAACTTGATGGGCCCACCGGTGGGTCCGGACCATATACTGTAGTTGAAAGTACACAATGAAACACCGGCTTGCTTGTATCAAATCAATAGATCCCATACATCATTGGAGCGGGAAGAATCTCAGCTAAAACACCAACTAAAGCAATTCCATCTCCAGTAAACACAGCCTACATGGCAAGCATTTTTATAATATACAGTAATGTACAGTAAGCACTGTCTTTGAACTTACTGCCCAATTATAACATGAAAGTCACCCTTGGTGTCATTCTGTCTGCCACCCCTTGATTCTACTTGCTTTGACTGTTCAAATGAGATGTCAACCATCAAAATTGGATAAGGGGTTCCAGAGAAATGCTGTGCAAAACACACTGGTCAACTTTGACCGAAAATAGTATAGGAAGGGGGGTATGACCTAACGCAAGAGAAGGGTAAGCTATAATTTCCACCTGACTCTTCATCCTTGCAGACAAATCCCCTCGACATGGAGAGACCCCAGGAGTCAGCACGGCTATAGCCATATTATCCTCAGGTCCTGCAGCAGCCGATCGTGATGTGATGACTCCTCTGTGTGACCCTCTGGGGGCCCGGGCCACCAACGACCTGGTCCTCCGCAGGGCGCGCCATCAGCAGTTGTCTGGTGAGGGAGAGAAACGCAACTCCAGGGCTGGAAACAAGGTCATAAAGTCAGCCTCTGCCACAGCCCTGTCCGTCATCATACCATCAGGTGAGCAATACATAGGGAAAGGTTAGAATAGAATCATAATGGAATGGATTCGTTTTTTTAGACACTTACACAGGATGTTATTTTCTCTCCAGTGGAGCAGCATGGTGGCTTCTCTCCGCTGGCCAGCCCCATGTCTCCCCACTCCTTCTCCTCCAACCCCTCGTCCCGGGACTCTTCACCCAGCAGGGACTTCTGCCCGGCCGTCAGCGTGCTGCGCTCCCCCATCACCATCCAGCGCTCTGGGAAGAAGTACGGCTTCACTCTCAGGGCCATTAGGGTCTACATTGGAGACAGTGACATCTACAGCGTGCATCATATTGTTTGGGTAAGAATCTAGTAGTAGTTGAGCTGAATGTAGGGTTCTGAATTTAAAAGGGATGGTTTTTGAGTCTAGGGTTTAGGTGGCATAATTGACTTAGAAAAACCTACACTTTAGCAGTCGTTGCAATAATTTCCGTTTTACTTAAAGTGGACCTATCATGCTATATTTGAACAATATATTGTAGGGCCATACCTATATAAAACATGTATGTGAATTTTTTTTCTTCAAAATGCCAAACAGGTCATGCATTTTAGCCATGCCTCATTTTGCTCTATTTGCTCTTTCCAGCCCTGTTTTTGCAGGGGGCTGATTCTGTGACATAGCTTTAATGCAAATGAGCTGCAGCTGACCACGCCCCCTGCAGGAAAGGGGAGCATGCTTTGAGATCAGCTGCTGGGCTGTCAGAAGAGGGGGAGAAAAAGAGATCTCCGTCCTCTGTGTTATATTCTTATATGATTATATAGAGTCATTATTCATTTGTTTTAAAGCTCAATAAATAACAAAGAAGACCTCTGACCGGCACTTTTCTAATTTTGTCCGGAAGATTTAAACTTTAACGGACATGTTGACCGGCGGAAAAAAATCTAACTGAAACTCTGCCGCACGGTCCCCTCGTTCCTTGGAAGAGGCGGAGAGGTGGGTGTTTGTCATCTGCTGGTGGCAAACCGGAGAGAATTACAGTGCTTGCCTCGACGGGGAGGGATTCCATTAAATTACAGCAGCAGGAGGCGCAAACGCTTGCCTCGGGGAGGGAGAAAAAGAGCCACAGCGGGAAGTCTTCTTCGCTGCTTTTGTGGCAGACTACAGCACCACCTACAGGCCTGGCATATGTACTACAGCGTCTCCAGCGCTTTCGAGCAGCAATGGCCGGCCGTGGCCCAACCCCACATTCCCCTGATAGGTGGAGGGTTGGCCATATAGGCGGAGCTCCTCGTTCCTGACGTCAGAGAATTTTCAAATATGTATCAGTCTGTATCAGATCCGTTGCAGCCCCGTTTTTAGAGATTTGGGTATGGAGGAAAATAGAGAGGGTTGTGTTTTCTGACACTTTGTGAGTTCCCTGACACACCGGGGACACATATTCATGTATAAAAGACGTACAAAAGTGCATTTTGCATGATAGGTCCCCTTTAACATTTGACCAGTTTAATGTTATGAGACCATAAAAGAGAACTGTTCTGTACTTAGCTTTGTGATGAATTAGTCATGACCAAAAATTCCAAGGCTCATTGTATTGTTAAACATTTTAATCCTTTATTTAACTGGCTTGGAACTTTAGCGGGCCTTTAGATTCTCTAGAGAAGACAGGAAAGGCATAGGAGCTGTGCCAATTTAATTAAGGCTTTTTACAACACAGTGTGTGTAGATGCTTTGATTTAGCATTCTGTTGCAGTTATTTTTTTATTTTTAAATAAAGTAGACGTTGTATTATAAAATAATCTAATTAATCCTTTCCTCTAATCTGACACAAACATAAATAGATCTCAACTGAAAGGTTTCAGGATTATTTTAAGACTCATTTTTCCAGTCTTTAAAGATACTGGGTGTTTCTCAATGTCGAGGAAGGATCCTCCAGGGCCACTATTTCAAGGATGCTACGTCATCGAGTCCCGCCGAAGGACTGTTCCAATGTCCAGGATCCTTGGAATTCTACCGAGGCCGGCGTCCTTCATTGCGGGAAATTTCGAGGCTGCACATGTNTCATTACGGATTATCCTGCAGCTGATCTGATTCATCAGAATGAAACACTCTCCCTCCAGCTGATGATAACATCTGTACCTACATCACACACACGCACGATGCACATGCACGCACGGCGCACACACATGCACGTGCATGAAGCACACACACACACACACACACACACACACACACACACACACACACACACACACACACACACACACACACACACACACACACACACACACACACACACACAGAGAGAGACGTAACAATCAGCTGTAATACAGCGCTCTGCTTCTCTCTGCAGGCTGTGATGAGCCACTACGGCGGAGCTGCAAGGGTGCTTTGACCATCACCTTTTTTTACTGTTGCTATATCTGCCTTGAAGAACTCCTTTTAATATGTTCAAATATTGTTTCTGCTGTTGACTTCCTCTGAGCCTGTGTTAACGCTGTAAACCTGCTGCCAAGGGGCTGACGGTCTCAGGTTACAGGCGGTCAGCGTTTGGCTTCATGTTGGCCATCAGTCCCCAACAGATGTTTTTTTAAAACATGAACAAGAGCAGGTTTGTTTCCTGCAAAAATGTTTCAACGTAGTAGTAACATACATTTGTTTTATTTTTGTACAGTCATTATATCTTTGCTGCTTTTTCTTTTAATTGTTTTTATTTATTTTTGATAATTTTGTGGTTAGGACTCTGTGTAATTGTGACAGCCTTTCTCAATTATATTTTAACTATTTTCACATTCAAACAGTCAATATATGAACCAAGAAAAGTCCTCCTCCAGAGCCACTATTGGATGCTACGTCATTGAGTGCCGCCGAAGGACTGTACCAATGTCCAGGATCCTTGGCATTCTACCGAGGCCGGCGTCCTTCATTGCGGGAAATTTCGAGGCTGCACATGTTTATCCTCCGCGGTCTTAAAATCCCCACAATGCTTTGCGCACGGACCAATTTCCCAAATCTTTGGCGGAAATCGCGCTCCATTTAAGGCGGGGCCTCGAATATGACGCACACCTGCACACCCGATAACCATTCTTCGTTTTCCGAGGCTAGGAAGGATTCTTGCCTCGCTTCTGAAGGACCTGACTCAGAAGACATGTCCTACCAAGGAAGCGTAATCGACATTGAGAAACACCCACTGTCTAAGATCCAAGTCCTGCACTCTGACTGTTTGCATGTAAATCATTTTGACCTGTTGTGAACTTGAATGTTTTGTGTGACTCTGCAGCATGTGGAGGAGGGCGGCCCCGCACAGGAAGCTGGCCTGTGTGCCGGTGACCTCATCACACATGTCAACGGGGAGTCTGTCCACGGTCTGGTCCACACTGAAGTGGTGGAGCTCATCCTCAAGGTAGGCAACGTATTCAGATGATATGTATTTTTCTCTGTATTTATTCTTTGTTTTCAATTTCAAATAAAAGGGTATTTTTGTAACTGAGTTCAGTGGCTCTTTATTTATTCCAACTCCACATTAAACATGCTAATTCATTCTGTAGACAAAGATAACATTTTGTCAGTTTGTGATACTAAAATGGATCAATGTAGAATATTATTCATTATTATTTATCTGTGTAGAGTGGAAACAAGGTGACGGTGACGACCACTCCTTTTGAGAACACCTCCATTAAAGTGGGGCCCGCTCGCAAGGCCAGCTACAAGTGTAAGATGGCTCGACGCAGCAAGAGGACCATGGGCAAGGACGGCCAGGAGAGGTACCTGATTTTAGTTGTAACTCGATAAAAACACAATACTCAAAGTAAAACTATTTCTAATATGCTCTGGGAAATGTTCAAATGGCAAAGCCCATTGGATAGAATTACAAGGTGAAACGTGTAACATAAATTATATTATGTCAATCCCACTTAAAATCCTTCTTTCTTTTCTTTGTCTGTCTGTCCTGCAGTAAGAAGCGTAGCTCCTTGTTCCGTAAGATCACAAAGCAGTCCAATCTGCTTCACACCAGCCGCAGCCTGTCCTGTTTGAATCGCTCCCTGTCCTCCAGTGAGAGTCTGCCTGGCTCTCCAACTCACAGCTTGTCTGCCCGATCCCCGACGCAGGGCTACCGCTCCACCCCTGAGTCCTCATACCTGGGTAGGACACTGGAAATAAACAATGCACATACAAGAGTTCAAAAAGATAAATTAACTCCGATCGATTAGAAAGATTACATTAAATACTGCAAAGAAAACAAAAAGACATCATTAAAAAAATTAGGAGTTCCAAAACACATCGTAGGGAAAGGAAAGTGAGCTTATTTAAAGCCTTGAAATCGTGTTACTTTTAAACCAGCAGTGGGTCTCTTCCTCTTGGATTCTTTTTAATACTAACTGATCTTTCCTGCTCTGTGTTCTCGTAGGTGCCTCCTCTCTGAGCAGCTCTCCAGCCTCCAGCACCCCAAACTCCCCCGCTCCCTCTCAGCACATGAGGCCCAGCTCCCTGCACGGCCTCTCCCCCAAACTCCACCGGCAGTATCGCTCTGCCCGTTGTAAGTCTGCAGGTAACATCCCCCTGTCCCCTCTCGCCCACACCCCCTCTCCTACCCAGTCTTCTCCTCCACCGTTGCCTGGCCACACGGTGGGGAGCTCCAACACCACCCAGTCCTTTCCCGTGAAGCTCCACTCCTCGCCACCGGTGGTCCGTCCAAGGCCCAAGAGTGCTGAACCCCCCCGATCGCCTCTTCTCAAACGGGTGCAGTCAGCAGAGAAGCTGGGCTCGCCTCTGACCCAGTCCAGCTCTGGGGGGCTCGGGGGTCCGCTGAGGAAGCACAGCCTAGAGGTGCAGCACTCTGAGTATCGTAAGGATGCTTTCCTCTGTGAGCTCGGCCTCCAGAGCCTGCTGGAGACAGAGGGGGAAAATTTGCCTCAGAATCCTCCACCCCTGCCCTCATCCTCTACAAGTCCAGAGACAGGTGTCCTGAAGCCTGTAAGGAGACTAGGGAGACAAGAGTCACCGCTAAGCAGGGAAACACTGCTGGCTGGGAGGGATAGGGAAGAGAGGGAGAGAGGAAGGGAAAGGGAAAGGGAGAAAGACAGGGCGACTGATTCAGTCCTGGAGAGATTGGGTCGGCTTGGAGGAACATCATCCCAGTCACCGTTAACAAGAAAACCTCAAACAAGTGATCTGTCCTTTAGCCCGCAGGCTGGCCAGAGCTCCAGACTAAATGCAGAAACCACAAAAACTACAACTTCCAGCACCCCTACCAAAACAACAGGAAGTCTCGGTGGTCATAAGGGACCTGAAAGAATTCCCCAGAGTCCGTCAGACTTGAATTCAAAACAGCAAGACTACCAGGCAGCCAAACATTTTTCACCTTACAGTAGAGAGCCCCAGGAGCAGCTGTGGGGCAGAACTGAACCAAAGCAGGAAGGAGATAACAGAAACAGGCCTGGTCCGCTTAGTCCCGCCTTCACTAAGAGCTCTGCTTCAACTCCAGATAAATCAATCTCCATTAACGCAGTGAAAGCCGGTTTTCTCAGCATGAACAAAACCTTTAAACCACCAGGTATGGGGGACAGTCTGAGAAAGGCAGGAGCAGAGAGCATTGACTCAAGGACTCCAGATTTTGGCTCCAAAAGCCCCAAACTCCCAGTTCGCGTTCTCGCTCCAGTCGTCCCCCCACATGGGCCGTCGCTCTCGCTGGGCAAGGTAAGGCAGGGGCTTGGGCCGGTCAACTGCTACCGGGGAACCCTAGACTGGGAGGACAAATGTCGTCTGGAGGTGGTGGAGGAGCATTCGCCTTCCCCCTCTCCCTCCCCGACTTCTGTCGCCCCGTCCCTCTGCGGACCTTCCCTCTGTAAGTCCAGGCCTGTCTCCCCCGGTGAAAAGACGAGCTTCGTCAGCCAGCTGACCACTGTGGCCAAAAATGTCCTCGGGCCAATCAAGCTTGGCTCCCAGGAATCGTCCAAGAGCAAAGACCTGCAGACTAAAGCAGCCGAGGATAGGCATGGAGGCTCAGCAGGAAAGTCTGACACTCCTGCAGGAGGTCGAGGGGCTTCGGTGGTCACCCAGAGTCCAGCTGGTTCAACACTAGAGAGGGCTGCAAAAGGTAGCAGCCAGTCAAAAATGTGACCAAATGGGACTTTAAAAGAGTAAAAGGAAAAAAAAATGCCTTTTTTTTGGAAGAACAATGTAATAGAAGTCAAGCACTTAAAAACAATGTACATTCCAGTGACAGAGTATATAAAATGTTATTTATTGATTCCAATCATTGACTGATTCTAACTTAAAACCAGGAGAAAAATAATCTACTGTTAAGGTGCATTATCTGTTGATTTTCTATTTTAAAGTATTTAATAAGAAGACTCTTAACGTAATGTGGAACACTTTATCAGATGTATATGTGTGTGGGTCTATGTGAATGCATGTCCTATGGTATGTACTGTACATCTATTAAAGATACAAGAAGGTCAACAAGTGCTTTACCAATCAAAACATGCTGAAAACTGTGAATACCAAATCCAGTCACTCTATTTGTGTCTTTCAAGCTGCCCTTTTTCAATGTACTGCTTTTCAAACAGGACAATGATGAACTGAGTCACAGTCAAATTGTAATTTTGCATCAAGCTACAGAAATGACACACTGCCTCAGTTTGGCTACAGCGGGGTAAACATGATAAAGCTCATTTCTTCTTCATCCAGCAGTTTACTGAGTTACTGTGCACGGTCAGACAAATCCAGAGCAGGCCCACTGTCACTGGATGTCACGTCAAGCACTGTCTAGCTCTGTCTGTCGCATGGGATTGTGTGTGTGTGTGTGTGTGTGTGTGTGTGTGTGTGTGTGTGTGTGTGTATGTGTGTGTATGAAGCCACCTTGGGTCTATTCCTGGTGGTTCTTGAAGGCTGTGTCCGTCTGCATAGGAAAGCGAGTTTGACAGAGCTCAGGCTCAGCGCTTATCTCCCCTTTGCAGGAGGGCTACCACAGCTCTTTTTCTCCCCATGCCTCTGACTGCAGCCGAAACACAAACACATGTACACACACACACACACACACACACACACACACACACACACACACACACACACACACACACACACTGCCACAGGAGGCAACAATGTCAGCAGCTAATTTTCATGCATTTAAACCCATGCTCCATGAATTGGGACGTGAGTGTGTGTGCGAGTGAGTGACTTAAGAGGTGTGTGAGAACGTGTGTCTTCTTAAGCGGCAATAACACTCAGCAAGGGCCATCATAACTGAAAGAAAACTGGCAGCAGATCCATCCAGTAAACAGTTACAGGCTTCACTGCTACTTTATTTACAAACCACGCAGTGATAACTTATGTGGATATATTAAAAGGATTGCAAGCACACATTGGGTGGATCCATATGTTGTTTTGAGCCACAACAGGAAAATCAGGCAGTCATGGATGTAGCATACTGTATTGTGTTTGTTAAAGGGCTCTTTAGCTAAGGTAGGAGTAGTGGATATGGGCATGGTACTGTATATCAAACAAGTTTATCTGCAGTATAATCAGAATGACTGTCGTGTTAGGTAGTCAAGATTGATTCATGTAACGCTCACATTGTAACATATACTGACAAAGATTTGCGAATCAATAATCTCAGCAAGAGTGCTGAAAAGTTTAAAATGTTCTCCTGACAAACAACTTGTGCTCTCGTCACTGTTGTATTCATATCCTTAGTAGTTAATTCTCAGTAACCATCCATTGTACATAATCTTATGCAAATCAATTACAGATGTGGTGATGACTGCTGTCACTAAACTGCTAATAGCTGATTTTCTGAAGGAAGTAGATCTGTCAAATCATTTAATCCATCTTTGATTTGATACCTCACTCTGTGACAGTTATTTATTAAAACAACTTTGATTATTTGAAGGTCTACAAATGTAAACTGATTCAACCAACAACAGCAACTTCACACAGAGGAAGAAGTTAATTGACTGGAATTTGTTTTTTAAGTCCAAAAGGGAAAAGTCTAAACAAATTTCCCAATCTGTTTTGCTATGCTGGGAGCAGTTGCTCATAATTTTGTTTTTTATTTGTTGGAAAAACTGAAACAAAGAGCTGGATGTGACTAATAGCTATTCTGTTCTGTGGGAAGTCGATTTGGCTGGTCTTTTTACATTCGTAGTTTTTATTTAAAAGAAGGCTGTTATTAATTTATTCTTGAATCTAACAATGTTTGAGGTTGTACCAATCTTTTGACATGAGAAAGTCCCGGCCATGCACTAACCATTTCTTTTTGTGTGGCATTGTACACTACTGCCCTCCAGTGGACAACATATCGACTATTAAACATGTTTCCATAAAATGTTCTTTTTAGTAATCAAGCCAAGACCACCAAAATACTGCAGATTGGACTTTATTAGCCATAGGGTTACTGATTATGCATTTGTTTTAATGACAACATATTTGCAGTTATTATCAAATGGACACTTGAAACATGGATTAATTCCCTTTCTGTTGTTGTGTTCTTCGCGTGACTGTTAATTGTATCTTCTGGAATAGGGATTAACATTTTTAATATAATATACTGTCTTATATATTCTACTGATAGGACGCAGTTCTTTTTTATCTTGATGTAATAAATGAGTCATCAGGTCAGCTCTGATCACCTGATTGGAAAAACTAACTGTAATGTAATCTTATACAGCTATTATGCCCTCTTTCAGGCCTTTTCCCAATCAATGATGTCTATGCTAGTGTTACATGTTTGAGATTTTTTTTGTGATTGACAGCGATAGTAGTATAAATGCACTTTATTTGAAAAGGAAATCTTCATTTGCTGGTATTGTTTGTAAGTTACTTTGAAGAAAAAGAAAATATAGTGTATACATATATGGATTCTACAAATGAACACAAAAGTCCATTATAAAAAGCATTCCACATTTCTCTGTTCACTGAAGTGTATTTATTTGTACCATGAGGCATTTTGTTTGTGATAGATGTGATTCAAATGCAGACACCTGAAGTGCAGTATGTGGAATAAAATTCTGAGATTTGTTCCAAAACCCTTTTGTGATTTGAATCTGTTGTGCAAATGCTGAACACACCTTACATTATCTTATCACAGTTAACACTTTAGGCTTCACACAGACAATAAGAAATACAAAAATAATTTCACAGCACAAATAACTTACATGTCATGGCATTGAACTAATAAAGTTGATTTGGTGTTTTCCATTTAGGTTTATCTGTTGGTATTGTCCGTTCTCCATTTTATTATTTTTTTAAAGGTACAACAAAAATACAATTGTTATTATCACATGTTATGTCATAGTATACACCTTAAATACGATAAGATTTTATTTATTGATACCCATAGGGAAATTCAGGATATGCTATGCACTACACACATACACAATACACATGCAAAACTAATTGTTGTTTTGGACAATACTATCATTTGATTTGTAGCCCATAGGCAGTGGTGAAACGTAACTAAGTCAATTCACTCAAGTGCTATACTTCAGTACATTTTGAGGTACATGTATTTTATGCTATATTTACTCTACCACATTATGAAGGCAAGTCATTTAATTTTTACTGTACTATATTTATTTAATCATTATAGTTACCAGTTATTTTTGAAATATAAAAACAAATGATGTGATATACTGTAGGCTACTGTACATGTAATATACCCAGTATTAAAATCAGAAATGTAAAAGTATATAAAATTGACTCCCAATGGAGAAACTACAACATTAAAATAATTGGACATGTTTGCTACTGATAAAAACTGAATATATTGTTTTAACATTTTTTACTTTCAATATAGCCTACGAAGAACATTTTACTGATAATACTTTTGTACTTTTACTTCAGTAGCATTTTCAATTCAGGATTTGTACCTGTCATGGAGTATTTTAAGACCATAGAAATTCTACTTTTACTCAAGTAAATGACCTGAGTACTTTTCCACCACTGGTGATGGGTTAGATATGATATAACTCGAGTAAATAACACACTGCTAATTTTATTCGATTATTATCCGTAGACTGTATTTTACAGTCAGCTTTCTCAACCAATGGCGTTGAAGCAGGAAAGGACATCAGGAAGTAAACGTTCTCTGCTCTTGCTGTCAAAAGGGGGTCGCTAAAGCGGTTGTTCGTCAGGGCACCAAACGCCGCAATGTACTGGATTATTTTCACCATAGCTTGTACAATTTAGCTTCTTGGTTGGATTTAAGAATGCCCAACAAACTGACACCAACTGCGTTTTGTTGAAAAGTCAATATCATCGCTCTGTCCGGTATGAATGTTAGGTAGCTAGCGCCGGGGACTAGCGTCAACAATGCTAACCTTTAGCTTAGCTTTAGCAAGCAGTACATTTAATTTATTTTTGAAGACTGCTGTCGTGGATGAAGACTAAGGACATTGCTGGAATGAGTCAATATACTCCAAAGTTTTGACCTTCTTAACTGGTTTCTACAGCAGGTATGTAGTATTAGCTGTGTTTAAAGGAGGTGTAACAGTAAGGCTGTCAGTTTAGAATTGGTCATGGATGTCGAGTTAAAACATGTTTTGTTGACTTTATTTTATTGATGTCGAGGACCAAACAAATGCATGGGAATATATGTGAGGATGTTAATTACAAATAAGTATGTTGCCTTATAGTTAAGAGTCACCACGCTCACATGACAAGTGTAGTGAGTATTTGCATTAAGTGTTTGATCTGCTGTGAGGAATGATGACAGCCACCACAGTCATATGACTTTCACAGCCGCTGAAAAAGCCCTTCGATGCCTGTTGTCAAATGCTGATCCAATGGCTTTTCTTCACAGAAATGTTCCCTTTAGTGCAATCCACACCGTGCTTCTGTTCCCTGTTGAAACTACTACTCATCAGTTTCTGGGCAGGGTGGAGTCACGGGTGTTTTCCTTTGTGTGTTGTGCATTGGGAAGTTTACTCCGACTACGTTGCAGTTATTTATATCTTTCAGGAAGTGATTATTTGGCTTACAGACTCTGGTTGTGCTGTTTCCATTTTACAGATTATGACGGGGTTCTATTTGTCCGTTCGAAACACTGGCCGAGTCGTTTTTTTTAAGCTCCAACACTTTAATTACAGCAGCAACAAAAAAATAGCGACACAGCACAACTTAAACAAACAAAATAAAAGACCAAATCAGGCCGTCCATCGCTCATGGAGAGTAAACGTGTTCTGCTGTTGCCTTCTCTGCAACGATCTCTCGAACACGTCCCAGCTGTTGCCTTCACTGCAACATTTTCCCGAGTGACCACTTCCAGGGCCAAACCCCGTCCCTTTTGAACCCATAGCCCCTCCCACCGGATTTACCGTCAACAGGTGACACAATTAGCTCAAAACCACATTGTCAACATAAAAATCCGACCCAAACATAAACAGGTTAACTACCTCTTAACATAATCATTCCCCATAATTAACAAACGCGAAAATAAATAATAAATTGCATGGTTCATTTCACGGAAGAGAGCAGGACCTGTGTGTGTGTGTGTGTGTGTGTGTGTGTGTGTGTGTGTGTGTGTGTGTGTGTGTGTGTGTGTGTGTGTGTGTGTGTGCGCTGTCAGTGGCGGAGTCAGTAACTCCGTCACACAGATTAATAAAACCATCTGGTTTGAGTTTGAAATGTCATTTATTCTTGACAAGTGGTAACATATATTTATAATATTCCTTAACTTGTAGATTAATAATCGACTTCAGAGAGCTTTGCAATTAAAATAAACTTTAACAGGGAAGAAAAAAGGAGAAACGTCAAGATTAACGGAGGGATGTCCCTCTTCCAGACATGCAGTATTTATTCTAAGCAGTAGACAGAAATAAAAAAATATTAGATGAAATATATTGGGTTTAAAAATGTACAAATGCATGTTATTGAGTAAATGTTGTTGATTAAAGAGTGTTGCAGTGAAGAATGTGAACACCTGTCAGCAGACAATAATTACCTCCTTCCCTTTCCCCTTTCAGTTCTATGTTGCAATGAGAAGCGTTGGACTTGAGCTCTGAGTGCTCAGCGGCATGAACTCGGTTTCCCCCAGCGCAGTACAGTACGTGGGGGTGGTGATGCAGGAGGAGCTGGTGGAGAGCCGGAGGCCGCAGCCCCTCGAGCGGCAGGGCAGCTTCGGTCTCAGGCCGGCCCCGACCACAGAGCCCGGCAGAGAGGCCAACGGAGAGCCGGACGAGTTGGACAAACTGAAATCCAAACTGATGACAGCGTGGAACAACGTCAAATATGGTTTGTACTTAGTCTTTGAGGAAGAGTGTGTGGGTGCTGCTCTAATGTTCATTGGCTTTTGATTAAGATTTCTGTATATATGTATTTGTGTACAGTTATAGTACATTTATACATACACAGTTTATTAAGTCTGGTCAAATCTGTTTTTTTATGGTTAATATGTTGTAAAGAACAAGAGAAACATCTAAAATAATAATAATAATAATAATAATAATACATGGGACTTTTATAGCGCTTTTCATGAAACTCAAAGACGCTTTGACAGAGAATTAAGAAAACACAACAAAAAAAAGACAAAGAAATACAAAAAGAGATAAACAAAACAGAGAAAATACGGGGGGAGGGGGGTGGTCAGTGGTTGAATGCAGTGTTGAACAGGTGGGTTTTGAGTGATGTTTTGAATGCTGTGAGGGAGGAAGAATTTCTGATGGATTGGGGTAGTGAGTTCCAGAGGGTGGGTGCAGCAACGGAGAAGGCTCTGTCGCCCCAAGACTTGAGGTTGGTCCGGGTGGGGAGGGACAGGAGGTTGGCAGTGGCAAAATACTCTAATTCAGCGCTTTGTATTTGTTATTACACCAACTTTACTTTTAAATGCTCCTCTTTCTGTAGGCTGGACTGTCAAATCTAAAACTTCATTCAACAAAACCTCGCCAGTAATCGTCCTGGGAAACTCCTATCTGCTCAACAGTGAAGGTAAGCACGAAATGCACAACGTATATTAAAATCTCAAGATTAAAAATGCCTAGCAGTCAATGCTGTTCTCTAAAGAGAGACTCCAGGTGTTGTTGTCATGTGGGTTTTGGTTAACCACAGCAGTGTAAACCCTTTTCCTTTGAACGGTTGCTGGCTTTAAATCAGAAAACAAACACCAAGCAGATGACTTAAAAAAAATTCTTCCTCACTTTTATTAAACAGATCTTGAATTTTTTTTGACATTACAAAGATCAGATCCAACATTTAAACAACAGACCTTCTTTAAAATACAGACAAATCATTAAAGGTTTGATTTAACTCATTGAAAAGGTTTTTTCTTTTTCCCTGGTCTCGTCCTCATCCCTTCCCCTCCTCTCAGATGAGGTGGAGCGGTTTCGTCTGGCCTTTGTCTCCAGGATCTGGCTGACCTACAGGAGGGAGTTCCCTCAGCTGGACGGCTCCACCCTGACCACAGACTGTGGCTGGGGCTGCATGCTGCGCAGCGGCCAGATGCTGCTGGTGCAGGGGCTGCTGGTCCATCTGATGCCCAGAGGTTGGTTGCCCTCAGTTACACACTATAGGTTAATTTGTATTACAGTGTAAGCCAATTGGGACCTTTTTAGAAGGGGTTGCTTATCTTTCCGGGAAACCAATACAGTTATCTCTCAGTGTTGTGATGCATATAACATTATATCTGCAGAAAGTTCAGTTTATTTTATTGCAGAACATATTTGTCTGTCTCAAGGCCCCCTGCACTGTACTTTTCTCCTCTACTCCATCTCATTCTTTCTTTTCCTAAAACATTTTCATTGTGTCCATTGTACTGTAGTATGGCATTCAAAATATGTTTACTCTCTGATCATTAAAGCCCTCTTTGCCTGGATTTCCTTAGTTCCTGACTAAAAGCCTCTTTGTGCTCTGTAGACTGGGCTTGGCCAGACGCTCAGCAGCTCACTGAAGTGGACTTTGAGGTGTTCAGACCGCGCTCCCCAGCCCGGGCAGGAGGGGTCCCCATCCCCTCCTTTGGCTCTCCACGCGGATCCAACACGCCTGAAAAGTCCCTGGCGAGTGATCAGGTACCCAAGTGCAGCCAGAAGAATAGACCTGAGTATAGAAGGGACAGTCAGGCAGAGACCCTCCACCACAAGCTGGTCTCCTGGTTCGGGGATCAGCCGCCTGCACCTTTCGGGCTTCACCAGCTGGTGGACATCGGTAAAAGTTCAGGGAAGAAGGCTGGAGACTGGTACGGACCCTCTATCGTGGCTCACATACTACGGTAAGGGCGTTGGAACAGGCATGTGTTTTTACAACCTAGGTTTGACTATTTTCCAAAATGATTTAGATAGCTGTCATGCATAAACATTGATTCGCGTTATGAATTGATTTAATTTCAGGAAAGCAGTAGCCAAAACCTCTGTGCTCCACAACCTGGCTGTATATGTGGCTCAGGATTGTACAGGTGAGAAAAACAGACCGGATATCTGTCAAATTTCATAATAACTCCTCTCCAGTTCAGAGTTATCCGTTTTGTTTATAACCTTGCCCCAACATGTATTCTTTTGGCAATACCTCAAAAAAGTCTTCTTCATGTTATTTATCATTATGTTCCCATGCATTGCAGTGTACAAAGAGGATGTGGTGCATTTGTGTGACCTGTCGCTGAGCCAGACCCCGCCTGACCCATCCAGCCAGGCCTGGAAGTCCGTCCTCATTCTGGTGCCTGTACGGCTCGGGGGGGAAGTCCTCAACCCGTCCTACATCGAATGTGTCAAGGTCTGAATATCCTGCTTTCACACCTTTGATTCCTCAGTGCTTACTGCAATAATATTTCCCTTTGAATCCTGTTGCAAAACGTATGTTCTTCTTCATATATTCTGACTCATATTGAAAACACCCTTCTTCATTTACAGAACATCCTGAAGCTGGAGTGTTGTATTGGAATCATCGGAGGCAAACCGAAGCATTCACTATACTTCGTTGGCTTCCAAGGTAAGAATTTTTCTTTCTTTTTTTTAAGAATGAAAGAAGGCTTGAAAACAAACTCCTTATTCAGAGGAAGGACCAGGGGGGTATACTACGAAGCAGGATTTTCGCTTAGCCGGCTAACTTCAGGGAAAACTCCGGCTTTCCGGTCCTACGAAGCTGGTTCTCTTTTTAGCAGGCTAGATCTCCATGGTAACTTATGCTGTGCGGCTAATCTGCCCCGGAGCAGGTTAGGTTGCAGGCTAAGAGCTCAACTCAGTGAAAGCACTGCCTGCTGACCAATCAGAGCTCAGTGTGCGGAGTTTAAAGCGATCAAGTCATTACAGGAGAAAGGAATATCACCTCCCATCTTCAGAGCAATCTGACTATTATAACGTTAGGGTTCAGAAAGCTTACTTAAATATCTGCACAACATAAGGAACCGGATCAGAGTAACATTAAGTACAGTCACATCACATGCATATCACATCATAATGTATCATATATTTCCTTATCTGAGTCAGCTGAGCCGCATCTGGCCGTGCAACACTCACAGTGTCACATGCTCCCTCAGCCAGTATCAAATCAAATTTAGGACTCGTTCAAGTTAAACGCCGTCAACGCCAAAAAAAATTAACGCCCACGTAATTATTTTAACGCCATGTGTATTTTTGTCCTCGGCGGCCCCCGTAGCTTTACAGAGCCGCATCGAGGTTTAAAAATACCGCTATCAACCTGATGCTGACAGCCTCCGCCCTCCTGGCTGCCGCTTGCCGCAGACCACACTTCCACGCTCACCGCAGGCACCGACTTCCATCGGAGAGGACGGTGTGCTATGCTGTGGTACGCTCGATGAGGACGACCTTAAATGTGTCAGTTTTTAGCATCTGGCTGCCCTAGCTAGCTGCCGGCAACGAATATAATGGAGCTGTTTAAATGAAAACAGCGAGAGTGACATTTCGCCGATCAACCGTGGCGATGCACTGACTTTCTCACACACACACACGAGCCACATCGGGACGGACAGCGTACGGTTGGGTATTATCGAATGAGAGAGGTTCCAGATTGATTCGAGCGCCGAATATTTTTGTAATGTTCAGGAGGTTTGTTGCTGTCAAATATTCATGAGGTGAATATTTGTCATTATCAAATGATATATGAAACATTTGCCCTGCATAAAGCATATTTGTTCCACATATGTTGATAAGAGTAATTAAAACTTGAAAAATATTCCTCTAAGGAACTTTAGAACAGGATAAAAAATGGTGCGCATTATTTGCCGATTAATCGTGATTAACTAAAATGGACAATCATGCGACATTAAGTACAGTCACATCACATGCATATCACATCATAATGTATCATATATTTCCTTATCTGAGTCAGCTGAGCCGTATCTGGCCGTGCAACACTCACAGTGTCACATACTGTATGCAGCAGTATTATTTTAAGCAACACATTAAGTTGACGAAACACTCGAGTCAAATGTAATTAAAGTCAGATCCACTCGTGTCTTAGACGGGGCAGTGATACCATAAACCTGTTAATGTACGAATTCAAACACTTTTTCTTTTACCAGCTGTATTCACCTTGCAGGTGCAACTATGTGGCTTTTATCATGGACACAGTGTTTAAGTCATGGATGTTTAAAGTTTAACTTCTTCATATGTCTAATATTATAGTTGACTTTTCAATCAGGAAGTATGACGCTGCGCTGTCAGTACGCTTCTCCATGTTTGTGATTGGTCGAATGCTCCAAATACCACCCCTTTCATGTGAACGCGCACCTAACTAGATAGGGCACGGCTGGCTTGAGCGATCCACTTGATAGCCCGCGTCGTAGTACCGTTTAGCGAGAGCGCGTATGTTTTGGATTAGGCCAACCGGCTAACTCAAACATATCCAGGTTAGGTTGAACCAGCTTCGAAGTACAGGCCTCTGGTGTTCCTAGGATACAGCTTGCAAAATGTAGTACAGAGGAGCCAATCTGTACTTGTGATATTACATTGATAAGTAAAGAGAGTCCTGGGACATTTTGGCAAAGAATGTATTCATGTCTGAAGCACATTAACACGAGAGCAATATAGTAATAAGAATAACGGTTTTATAAAGCACCTTTCAAAAACGCTCACAAAGGGCTTTACAATAACAACTGTCGAGTAGGTGAATTGAATGCATAAAAACAGGGAAAAAGTAAAAGACCCTGATCAACAGACTGGCTCTTGACAGGTGGAGAGTTTATACATAAATGCAGCTTTTTAATCCTCTTTCTGTGTATCCTCCCTGTGTGTTAGACGAGCAGCTGCTGTATCTGGACCCTCACTACAGCCAGCCTTTGGTGGATGTGTCACAAGTCAACTTCTCACTGGAGGTTGGTCGCATTGTCTTCTTCTATTTATAAAAATGCGTCACTATCTCTCTCACACCAGTCTGTCTGGCGTTTTATCAGATCAAATCAGACATGTGACTTTCACTGTCAATAGTGTTTTGACTGCACAGACCATTACAGATAACACATGTCCCGTCATGAACTTTTATCGACTGTTATTGAATGACCTCTGTCTCCCTCCGTCACTCTCTAGTCGTTCCACTGTAGCTCTCCTAAGAAGATGCCCTTCAACCGCATGGATCCCAGCTGTACCATCGGCTTTTATGCCAGGGACAAGAAGGACTTTGAGTCTCTATGTTCTGCTGTCAGTGAGGTGAGGTTTTACACCCTGCTGACAAAACCTAACTCTACATTTGATTGCATTTATTACCAGAGGAGAACAAACAATGTAACTAGTCTATTGGAATAAGCAAAATATCTTCCGTCCGATAGGATCAGGTTGAATTATCTTGATGCTAAGGAAATGTTCTTCAGTGCTTCCATTTTTATTTCCTTTAGCCAAGGATGAAAGCCATATCAGGTTCACAAAAGAGAGGGAGAGAGAGATCCACAACCATCCACAGAGGGATTTAAATCACATCATAAACATGAAAACACAATGTTGCTATACAACGTCTGGGTTGTAACAATGAGCACCTTGTTTTGACTTGATGGGCTTGAACAATGTTACATTTTCAGATTTTCCTTCTTTTATGCATTCTAAAAGCAATGTAATGTAATATTTATCTATTTAAATGAATATATATTTCAATTCTGTGCTATGATTCAAACATAAATGAGCAATTCAAAAAAATGTAATTAAAGTAATGAGCAGGTTTGTAATTAAATGGAATGGAAATGTTTACAGCTCAAATTAAATGTTGTCAGTCTTATTAGATATTCTGAAGTGTTTTAGTACATTTTTGATAACTTGATTATGTTGCACCGCCAGGCCCTGTCATCATCGAAGGAGAAGTACCCCATCTTTACCTTCGTAGAGGGCAAGAGTCAGGATTTTGGACTTCAGGGCCACGGCAGCAATAACAGTGGACCTGCAGCCCACATCCTGCCCCCCGGCAGACAGGGCATGATGAACAACAGAAGAAACAGTGATGAGTTCGTCTTCCTGTAGGCACTGGGGAGGATGCTCTCTCAGCTCTCACCAGTAGGGGGCAGACCGGACATCTCACTTCCTCTCAAAAAGGAAAGACTGGATTCTGTTTGCGGTGCGTCGGCAAGGTGGAGAGGACGCATTATCGCCTGCACTGCTCAAACGAAAAAAACAAACAGTGTGGCTTCTGTCATCACATTTTGTGTGATGGGTATTATAAGCTAACAGACACTAACGGGTGCTGTCTGCAGCATTATTTCACTGGGCAAAGGCATGATTTCAAAACGGATCATGGTTGGAAATGTTTCTCGTACTTAAAACACTTGATCATACACCTAAAGTGAAACATATATGAGAAAACCCAAGCGCTTTAAATTACTTCTAAAACACTCAGAAACTGTTTTCGCCCTGGTCTAAACTGGACAGGAAGTTGATGTGATCTCTACTTCATGATATTTGAAAAGCTCTCTGGTCAGTCGGGGAAGGGGTTCTTGACTTGTATGATATATCATCTGCTGTACATCTCTTTATTTTGCATTCTTTACATTTATTTATCTAGTTTATGAACGTGTGAGCAAGTGTGATGTTACTGTGGTTTATTTGTATGTCTTAAATAAGTTCTCTGATGGATTAGGGCAGGGGTGTCAAACTCAAGGCCCGGGGGCCAAATCCGGCCCTTGACTTCATTTCATGTGGACCCACAAGAGCTTGCAAAGAATATAATATGTTTATTATACGGTTACATGATGATTTACAGAAGCATGTTGCCCATAAACTACAAGTCCCACAATGCATCTCAAATTAGACTTTTTTTCTCAGAATTTGACTTTTTTTCTTCTAAATATGCCTTTTTTCTCAGAATGTACCCTTTTCTCAGAATTTGACTCTTTCTTAAAAATGTTACTTTTTTTAAAATTTCACCTCTGTTTTTTGATTTTGACTTTTTTTTCCAGGTTTTCTTTTTATATCATTTTGTGACATTCCCACTGAAGAGACTTGCAATTATTTTCCCCAGACGTCTGCTTTCAGACGTAGTTAATTATGAAGTTATTACCCTATCCAATAATTATCCAATGCAGAGGCAACAATGTAATATAATACATTATTTTATATATTTATATATAAGTTACAACCGGCCCTTTGAGTGCAGCCATAATGCTGATGTGGCCCGCGATTAAATTGAGTTTGACACCCCTGGATTAGGGAGTCTATCAGGTTGAGTTTCACAGAAGTTTTAAATTCATGAAGAGCATTTTGAACAACAATAAATTAATTATCGTGTTGCATTCTGACCCAAACATCACACAGATGACATGGGTCTTAATCTAGGCAGGCTTTGCCCTTGATTATCGATCATTAAGAATATGAAACACTCCAAGAAATCTCTGCTTAATATTCAAGGATAAGGGTGGAGGTGAATATAAATGATGCCTTTAGTTTTAGCGTTATATGTATCTGAACATGGGAAACTGTAGCTTGTCTCATAAAGCTGGATTATAAAGTAATCTGGATACATTTGAAAATTGAAACCCAGAACAGCATTCTTTAATTATTTTTCAGCTTCTGGTCAGTTATTCAGTCAATAAGATCAGCTGAATAGATAATTAACCTTCAAGGTTTTGGTACGATGTCTTTTGTGTTTAGATTGTCTCTTTTCTGAGGGAAGGCTACTACTAAAAGTTGCACTATACTACTGTTATTTGGGTTGTTGTCCAGATTAAACTTCAAACACTGGAATCACATGTGCTTGCATCTTATATTCTATAAGCAATTTTGAAGAGATTTTTTAGATGAAATATGTCTGTTTCCTTGAACTTGATCACTGCAGAGGACACACTGGTTGTTTATGGTAGGCTACCCAAAATGCAATGTTTGTCTTCAAAGTGTTGATTTGTCAGAGAAGCAGACACATTATTGAACTTTTTATTTTACATCATACTGGAAACTGCTTAGAGTTCAGCTTCTGAAGCTGACCTGTCACCTGTTTTTTCTTGTGTCACTTTTAGGGTCTTTACATGGGTTTATTAGAGACTGTAAGAACAACAGGCTTTTGCTAGGATCTTTTCTCATTGTAGTCCAATTGAGATATATATATATATATATATATAAAAAGCTTTTGTTCTTCATAATAATGAACCATACTAACATAATGAAAATGTGTTGCCATCAAAATGTTGATGCAGCATATTTAATTAAGTGCTTGATTGCAATAGATACACTAAATGCTAAAGTATTCTCCTGTAATACAACCATGTTACACGGTGTGTACAGTAAACTTCATACAGGATATGCAGTTTGTGTAGCTACAAAATGAATTCCCTCAGAAGTACAGCAGTTGGACATTGCAAAAAATGAGTTTATTTGTGACGTTTATCATTATTTGGAGATAGGTCGTGCACATATTGGATGTTGGTTAACTTTCATTCTGTGAATATCATCCTGGGAAAAAAATCCTTGTCCAAGTCCTAAAAAGCCTACTTACAATGTAAAAACAATCCTTCAAATAACTATTGATGACTCTCCATGTACACACAATGTATAAGGCTGCAGTACAGTCTCAGCTGTAGCTGCGCACGCATGCGCTCTGCCTGCCGCACAGCCGTGACTAGACATTCGGTCATAAAAACAGAGGAGGGGGCGCTCGCGCCGCTGAAACAAATCAACGCTTGGAGGCTAATACCAACAGGGTGAGTAGACTAATTGCGTCAACTCCTGCGTCTTCTTCTATGCCCAAAACAACAACTCAGGAGCGCATGAATTCACCCAGGACCGCTGTCCTGTTGATGCGGGTAGGTCAGCAAAAAACGCCATTCCCCTTTTTTATATTTAACGAGACAGGCTTTCATAGTCTGAGTGAGAATGATCTTGGTAGCGGGCTCATGTGCATAATTTACCGTTCCCCCGCGTTCAATTCAAGCGCAGTGGCAGACCCTGCAGCTTTAATTGCATATGGGCACAACGGGTGATTTGGTGGAGCACAGCGGGAGAAGATAGGGATATGGGAGGCGGTTGATACATTTCAGCCAAATCTTGCATAGATTTTTGCACCAATTTATTTTATCAGTAAAGCATAGTTAAAGGCAGATATGAAGCATCACTGTCACATTTTTTACAATAATTTCTCTAATCAATCCAGTGAACAATTGCTCATTTAGATCACTAACTTTTTCCGTATTGCATTGCCATAGTTAAAAGTTTTAAAGAGATCCAAATCTCCATCACACTCTCTGACCTTCTCTTTCCCAGGTCTCTGCTTCTCACCCAGGAGCAGGAGATCCGGGCCGATGTCCACCACAGATCCCCCCATGGGAAGCACACCTCGCCCAGGTCCTTCCCCTGGCCCAGGTCCCTCCCCCGGGGCTATGCTAGGCCCCAGCCCAGGGCCCTCTCACAGTATGATGGGCCCCAGCCCTCCCTCTGGGCACCCCCAGCTGGGGCCCTCTGGATACGGCCAGGAGAGCATGCACCCTCTGCACAAAGTAAGGACGTACAAACAACAATCATCCCGCTGACACACACCACTGTTAATGCGGGTCCATTAGGAGGGGTGTGAGCAAGTATTTTATTTTTCACATTAATGAGCTTAAATATCACATTCACATGAGTTGCAGAATCTGAGGCACTTTTGTGGACATTAATTCCACAGAAAGAATCATAGATCTTGGTTGATTGTTATTTGAACAACGTTTATGTTGTGAAAACACCTTCACTTTATATTTACATTTTAGCTCCACCTGTATCATAATTGGCATATGCTGACACCAGCACGTTGTAACACTAATCCATGTTTGAGAAAGCCATCATTGATGTTAGATTGAAATAACTGTGAATAACTACAGCTGCCTATTCATTCATGTACAGGATTCAACCTCTATCCTTATTCTATATTTTTCACCAAATATTGTTCCTGATTCGAGTTCAATTATCAAAATGTTTTAACAGTATTACTTCAACAGTAAAACCGAATTAGGGCTGACAAACTGTTGCATTGAATAGTACTTTATGGACATGGTTTAAACCTGAATATATGTAGCACAAAAACAAAAAGCATTTATCTCAAATATTGTGTTTGTATGCTGGTCCTAAAGAGCTAACCAATCACTATGTTAAATAGTCATTTAGGAACCATTTATAAGGAAGTGATTAATAAAGTCAGGTTTCTTGAAAAACTATGCCTGTCGCATTATCTTACATCTCCTTATGTTTTATATTATATAAACACTGTTTTTATGTTAATCCCAAGGTGCTTTCCCCCTAGCAGAACTATACTATGTTTGCAGCTGAACCTAATGGTTTAATTTGAACCCTGATTGATTTCTTCTGTATTCAACAGCCTATGGAGAGCATGCATGAGAAGAGCCTGAGTGAGGAGAGTCGCTTCAGTCAGATGAAGGGACTGTCTCTGAGACAGGGCGGGCACAGTGGCATGGGCCCTCCACCCAGTCCTCTGGACCAACACTCACAAGGTAGGCATGCTACGGAGACTTAAGCAATGTCCTGCTTTCCAGCCTTGCGTAAATTGTGTTCATCTGTGAGGCGTGGTTGGCTTATAGGGAGTTTCACTGTTGAAACAGTTGAATACTCCATGAGTCATTTTTTTCCAATGCATTTCTTTTAAAGAAGCACTACTATGCCTTTTTGCGTTTTTCCCTTTCCTGTAGTGTGATATATAGGTTTGTGTGCATGAAAATGGTCTGCTAAGGCAAAAAAAGTGTATCTCCCCCTGCTGATTTGACTCCTTTGTATACTTCTATAACATAGTGACATCATTATATAACCCTCCCTTCAACACATTGTACATGATAGGCTAAGGGGCATGAGACAGAGTTGGCCAGCTAACAGAGTTGGCCAGCTAACCAATCAGAGCAGACTGGGCTCTGGTTTTAGACAGAGGGTGAAAAGAGGTGCTGCAGCACAGGCAGTGTTAGAAAAATAAAACGCTGTTTGAACACTAAAGCATGTAAAGATGTCACAGTAGTGGCAAAAAATACAATATGAACCTGAAAATGAGCAGAATATGTCTTTAATATCAAAATACTGAAGCAGTACAGTGGCCCTTCCTAAAACCGCCACTGTTAACAGTCAGGTGGCAACGTTTTTGCTTAGCCTCTAACTGACATCTGCTGTATTCAGGAAATGAAACAAGGCAGACTGGCAGGTTTAACCCTTTGAATCACAGTTAAAAACATTACGAAATTACCATCTGGTAGGGTGTGAATAGTGCTGGGAAATAATGTACTATTCATCCATCTACTGTATGTCGCAGGCTTTTGTTAAAAGGAATAGTTTTTACCCATTTTCCGAAATCAGTGTTCGAACAGAAGACCTCTCTCATGTTGTTATGATAAATGTGAAGCTAGGGCCATGAGACAGTTGAAGCAAAAATAATAGAGACCAACAGGCTCACTGATTATACATATTATATCATCTTTGTTTAGGGTAATAAAAAACAACAAGTTGTTGTTTTAATGGGAACGTGTATGGGAATATTTCTTGGTCAGACAAATATCTCCTGAAATATTTCCTAGAGACCCAAGGTGAGGGACAACACTGCTTTCATCCACCTGTGTGTCCGTCTTTCTGTGTGTGTTTCCAGGTTACCACTCTCCGTTGGGGGGCTCTGACCACTCCAGCCCCGTCCCTTCAAACGGCCCACCCTCTGGACCTCTCATGCCATCCTCCTCTTCCTCTTCCTCTTCTGGTTGTCCCGGCTCTGCCTCTACACCTTTAGACGGCCCCGGTGTAGATCAGCACACTCTGGGTCCCACTAACCGGCCTGGCCCCCCCGGCCCCAGTCCAGGACCCAGCATTGGCCCCGGTGTCTCTACCCTTGTATCTGGCCTTGAGTCTGGAGGCCCGACTCCCTTCAACCAGAACCAGCTCCACCAGCTCAGAGCCCAGATCATGGCTTATAAGATGCTGGCCCGGGGTCAGCCCCTGCCAGATCACCTCCAGATGGCTGTCCAAGGGAAGAGGCCGATGCCTGGGATGCAGCAGCCAATGCAAAGCCTGGTTCCTGGAGGGGGAGGCGGGCTGATAGGGGGACCAACAGGACCCATACTAGGGCCGGGGATGATGGGTTCCGGCTATGGCCGAGTTCATGGTGAGCATGCATGGAACGTGTCTGCATTACCAAGCTATGTCCTGTGTTGGCTAACTGATAAAAGTCAAACTGGGCATGTACGTTACATTTGGCTTTATGAAGTACAAACACACTTCCCTTTTTTTGTACATATCCATGATTTTTTTCTATTTTATTTGTATTCATTTATTCATTGGGTTCACCATTTTTTTCCTTATATTTTCTTGTCAGTTAGTACTCTTATCAAAATCTAAATAAAAATAAAACCATCTTGCTTACACATTCCACAAGTGGTTTGTCTAATGCAAGAAAATAGCGTTTTAAAATTGAGGAACATAAACCATTTTTTTTTTATAAACCAATGGTTATACTCAAGTGGGATTCATCACTTAGCACACCTGGGTAAGAGCAGGTTTAGATGGTTCATTACCTTCAGGAGCATCTGGAGTTAATTTTGCATCTATAAAAAGCAGAGAATTATGAGTAAGATACAAGAGAAATTGTTTTATACTTTAATTAGCTGCACATTTCCACAAAAGTTATCTTCTTAAAGTCTGCTTAAAATATGTTTTGTAGATTTTGTGCTATACATGTAATAATAGTCTTAAAGCTTAAATTAGCTGTACATATTTTTCCCTAGGAATGATGGGTCCCAGCATGCCTCCTCCAGGCCCATCAGGTATTCCAGTTGGGATGCAGATGCAAAACCCAAACGGACCTCCCAAATCCTGGCCTGAAGGTATGTGATGTAAGACTTGGGGAAACCTGTCTTTTGTTGGACATGTGTAAAATCAGAGGAAGATAGAGCTGGTATATCCATATAAATTGTAGTTATAACCACTAATCCATGTAAACACTTTACATTTTTTATGTCTGTGCCTTACCCCCGGTGCATGTGCATCCTCATGGGTGTGAATAGTACAGATGGGTGTGCACAATACAAATAAATGGGGATATGTTCTTTAAACGTTGCTCCACTATGCGTGGTTATAAACTCCACAGGTTACCGTTCGTAGATCTTACAGGACCCAAAGGACCCAAATATTTTCCTTAAAAAAACAACATTTTAGGCAGAACACTTTATGTAGCGTTTCCATAAAAATAGTAGACCTTTTCTTTCTTTTTAACACTTCATCTGTCCAGGCCCCCTGGTGAATGCAGCAGCCCCCTCTAACGCACCCCAGAAGCTAATTCCCCCTCAGCCCACTGGCCGGCCCTCTCCTGCCCCCCCCTCAGTTCCTCCAGCTGCCTCTCCAGTAATGCCTCCACACACCCAGTCCCCCGGCCAGCCGGCACAGCCCACTCCCACTCCCATGATGCCTTTCCACACCAAGCAGAACCGCATCACCCCCATCCAGAAACCCTGCGGCCTCGACCCAGTGGAGATTCTGCAGGAGAGGGAGTTCAGGTACGCCTTTGGAAACACAGCTACCTTCATCTCATTTACATTAAGGAGAGATTTCTTCGTAGAAAAAAGATAAAGCATTAATAATTCCTAATAAAGTACACTTCCCTCAGGTTACAGGCTCGGATCACTCATCGTATTGCTGAGCTGGAGAACCTGCCAGGCTCTCTGGCTGGTGACCTGCGTACAAAAGCTACTATAGAGCTCAAAGCCCTCCGACTGCTTAACTTCCAGAGACAGGTATGCACTACATCTTCAGGCTTCAAATGTTTTTATTTCCACCTTCACAACATCACATTTTGAAGGTTTTCAGTGGCATGATAACTCCATGTTTGTCTGTCTATCCACAGTTGCGTCAAGAGGTGGTGGTGTGCATGCACCGGGACACAGCTCTAGAGACGGCCCTCGATGCCAAGGCCTACAAGCGAAGCAAGCATCAGACTCTGCGAGAGGCGCGCATCACAGAGAAACTGGAGAAGCAGCAGAAGATTGAGCAAGAGCGCAAACGAAGGCAGAAACATCAGGTAGAGGACAAACACATTGGTGATGTTCAAGATTAAAAGTGTTTTAGTTGACTCTTCTCTTCTACTGTGTTTTATCTTCTCTTTCCTTAATCCCAATCTTGCATTCTGCTCTTAGGAGTACCTGAACAGCATCCTGCAGCACGCCAAAGACTTCAAAGAGTACCACCGCTCCATCACAGGCAAAATGCAGAAGCTGACAAAAGCAGTGGCCACCTACCACGCCAACACTGAGCGGGAGCAGAAGAAAGAGAACGAGCGTATTGAGAAAGAGAGGATGAGGAGGCTCATGGTGAGAAGAAACCACAGAGACACAGTTACAAAAGCATGCAAATGACACCCTCAATGGTATACATACTGTCCTACACACAATGTGTATATGTCTGTCCTGCAAGGCCGAGGATGAGGAGGGCTATCGTAAACTGATCGACCAGAAGAAGGATAAGCGCCTGGCCTACCTGCTGCAGCAGACTGACGAGTACGTGGCCAACCTCACCGATCTGGTCCGAGCTCACAAAGCTGCGCAGGCCCTCAAGGAGAAAAAGAAGAAGAAGAAGAAGAAAAAGAAGAAGGTATGGAAAACACCAGCACCAGTGATTTTGAATGTGATAGCTATTGACTTGAGAGATGTAAGTGAGCTTTATTGTGGTTGGTCAACCTCTTCTTCTTGTCTTGCAGTTGGAGAGTGCTGAGGGTCAGACTCCTGCCATGGGTCCTGATGGAGAGGTGAGCAGAAGCTGTCATGGTGGCATGACATTTTTCAAGGATTTGGGATTAATGTTTATCTGTAGGGAAGTCACTGATTGCATAATACAGTTACTCTTTAAATATACTACTTTGCTGGGATTCTTTGTAGCGTATTCTAAGTCTCCCTAGAGACCTCTTTTTGATAAAATGTCCGCACAAAGCTTTGTGGGTAATGTTTTTCTCTTTTTGTTGTTGTCATGGCAATAGGTAAAATCTGCATACTTTCATATGATCCCAATATTATTGTTTTCATCAGGCACAAAGTGTACTGCATATGATATATATATATATACATAATCGATGGCTTTTGCCAACAGTATGCATGTGTGAATATTGAGAAATCAATGCCGTAAATGATCTGTCATCGGGAACAACAATTGTAGTGAAAAACTATGTGAAGCTTTGTCTCGTGTTAATTAGCCACCATGTAAACCAGTCCTGTCCTAAAGATAACCTTTGTCCCCCCCTGCAGCCTCTGGATGAGACGAGTCAGATGAGTGACCTTCCGGTGAAGGTCATCCATGTGGACAGCGGGAAGATCCTGACAGGAGTGGACGCTCCTAGAGCCGGACAGCTGGAGACCTGGCTGGAGATGAACCCTGGGTGAGACTGGCTGGAGAGAGGAGGAGTGACGTCTGAGAGTGTGTCTGGAGGTTCCTCAATGACTATCAGGCTATTTGTTTGTCTGATTTTTGCTAAATTGCCATTGCCAGGACAAATTATCAATCTGAGAGAATATATCACTTGGCACCTTCAACTGGCTTGACTCCTAGTTGTAACATAGATTGATGCTGTTTTAATCACTGAGTAGGAGATCTCTGCATATAATATGGCTCCTGGTGAAACTCTGTGAACGATGAAAAAATATATATATATGGGAAAAAACAACAAGGAGAAGTTGACTGCAATGACGGCAAAGAATCAGCAAGTTTTTTTATTTAACTCGCTTTTATATTTTATATGTGTGGTTTAGAAACCTGTGCTTAAGGATGACTTACAGTATAGTTGAAATGTTCACATACAGTTAACGGTTAGTCAGTTTGATTTGAGTATGCATGTATTTTTTCCAGTTATGAGGTGGCTCCTCGCTCAGACAGTGAAGACAGCGAGGAGGAGGAAGAGGAGGAGGTGGGTTGTTTTAAAGACATGTCTGAAACCAGTTTCATATTCACTGCTCAAATCACTGACAAGCTGTCTGGCAGGAGGAAGAGGAGGAGCCTCAGCCGCCAGCTAATCAGGTGGAGGAGAAGAAGAAGATTGCAGATCCCGACTGCGAGGACGTGTCAGAGGTGGACGTCCAACACATCATCGAGTCAGTACAAAAAAGGAGCACTAGACTTCTTGAATACTTTTACAATTATGTTGTTGAGCCACACGTGCTCAGAACATAATATGGTTGATGAATTCAACTGTAATTTGTCTCCACACTTAACAGAAATGCTAAACAGGACGTGGATGATGAATATAGCGAAGCAGCGTTCGCCCGAAGCCTCCAGTCGTATTACGCTGTTGCTCACGCTGTCACGGAGAAGGTGGACAAACAGTCCACTTTTTTAATAAATGGACAACTCAAACAGTATCAGGTGAATAATCACAGTCAGATCTATCACATTATATTTTCTACTTGGCCATAGGGCTTTAAATAATATCTTAATATCTTTAGACTGGGTGCACACTGCTTTTTGAGTTAACCGACTGCTTATGAAAATATCATGACAATCTGTACTTGATTCTCAATATTACATCTGACATGGAAGTAGCAGCAAAACATTGAGTATATTTAAGATATCACCCACTCCTAACTTGCCATGCATGAAGACATTTTTTGAATGTTATGACTTGACAAAGGAGTTAAATGCTTTGCTTGATTCTCCCTTTACTGTCCTGCAGGTTAAAGGTTTGGAGTGGCTGGTTTCCCTCTACAACAATAACCTGAACGGGATCCTGGCTGATGAGATGGGCCTGGGGAAAACCATCCAGACTATCGCTCTCATCACATACCTCATGGAGCACAAGCGGCTCAACGGCGCCTACCTCATCATCGTACCACTCTCGTTAGCATAACCTCTTAATTTACAAAGATATATTTAATGTTTTGTTGTTATTCATCAGCATATTTCGTCTGAACACATTGTTTAATTAAAACAGAGCTGCCTCTCATTTACAGAACTCTTTCTAACTGGGTGTATGAGTTTGACAAATGGGCACCGACAGTCGTGAAAGTGTCCTACAAGGTGGGCTTCTAAAAATGCTTTTATTGTTTGTATGATAGCTTTTGCTTCTATTGTTAAACATTTAAACCTGTCTTTCAGGGGTCTCCTGCTGCAAGAAGAGCCTTTGTGCCTCAACTGCGCAGTGGAAAGTTTAACGTTTTACTCACCACTTACGAGTACATCATCAAGGATAAACAAGTGCTGGCCAAGGTGAGATGGGATACACAAACAAACACAAGCAGAAGGAGACACACCCAGGCAGTCGTAGTGTAATTCATTTTTGCTAATCTTTAGATTTTGCTTGAGGTTTCCATGTGTTTTTGTTCATCGTCTCCCGTTCCCTAAATCCCCAAAGTTTGAAAAGTATTTTATCCTGGCCAATCTGACCGCCCACTCTGCTGCGTCTCAGTGCTTTCTCCTAGGTGCTGCCACACTGACACCGCCTGTCTCCCTCTGTCCTCTCTGACGTCATGCTGTCATGCACTCATGTAGTCATTTAGGCTTCCTGACTGCTCAAAGGTGGGTGTTGAGGTTAAGGCAATACTTTCCCCTTGTGATGGCTCAAGGCTTTGGCTCGCGACTGAGCCAGGGTGGGCCCCGAGGACACGATGGACAATCTTACTTATGAACACTTTCAGTTTATGGTTGCTTTGGAATCGGGGCGACAGTATAGTGGCAGCTTTATCTAAATGAACTTTTCTGCTCTCTCCAATACATCAACCCCAGATTCGTTGGAAGTACATGATTGTGGACGAGGGCCACCGGATGAAGAACCACCACTGTAAGCTGACTCAGGTTCTGAACACACACTACCTGGCCCCGCGCCGTGTACTGCTCACAGGAACGCCGCTGCAGAACAAACTACCCGAGCTCTGGGCTCTGCTCAACTTCCTGCTGCCCACCATATTCAAGAGCTGCATCACCTTTGAGCAGTGGTTCAACGCCCCTTTCGCTATGACAGGAGAGAAGGTGGGAAGTCGTAGCAACATCACATCCCTTTTTATTAAATGTGAGATAAGGCAGGAGGTAGAGCATCATTTTGTCTTCTCTCACTCCCTAGGTTGATCTTAATGAAGAGGAGACCATCTTGATTATCCGTCGTCTCCACAAAGTGCTTCGCCCCTTCCTCTTGCGTAGATTGAAGAAGGAGGTGGAGGCCCAGCTTCCAGAGAAGGCATGTTTCACTTATTATAGCACACAGAAGACAAAATAACATAGACACACTTCTACAAACAGACAAAGAGATGAATTTCTTTCAATCATGTATCTTCTCTCTCCTCTCCGTCAGGTGGAGTACGTGATAAAGTGTGACATGTCGTCTCTTCAGAGAGTGCTCTACAGGCACATGCAAGCCAAGGGGGTCCTGCTCACTGACGGATCAGAAAAGGACAAGAAGGTGAGCACATAAACACTCAAACACTGTGGGTGCTACCTAGTGTATCATTAGATTAAACATACTTATTTTAGGTATGCTTTTTTTAATAGAACAAAATAATATGTGGCATTAAGAGGATTTGTATCATCATATTTCATTTAGAAGTTGACTTTGGAAAAAGTTAACAAACCCTGACTCACACGGAGATGTATTAACTACAGTATGACAGTTCAGGGGACCTATCATGCTAAATGCACTTTTGTACGTCTTTTATACATGAATATGTGTCCCCGGTGTGTCAGGGAACTCACCAAGTGTCAGAAAACACAACCCTCTCTCTTTTTCTCCATACCCAAATCTCTAAAAACGGGGCTGCAACGGATCTGATACAGACTGATACAGATTTGAAATTGTTCTGACGTCAGAAAAGGGGATCTCCGCCTATATGGGCAACTCTCCACCTATCGGGGGAATGTGGGGTTGCCGTGGCATGGTAAAAGCATGGTAACAGCATGGTAACAGCATGGTAACAGCATGGTAACATGACGCTCGTGCCTCGCCCCCAGCGTGGTCAGCTGCAGCTCATTTGCCACAGAATCAGCACTTGTGAAGACAGGGCTGGAATAATTCCAGCCCTGTCTTCACAAGTGCTGATTCTGTGGCAAATGAGCTGCAGCTGACCACGCTGGGGGCGAGGCACGAGCGTCATGTTACCATGCTGTTACNTCCGTGTCGAAAGATAGGATACATTCCAGAGTAGGGGTTGGGTTCTTCACAGAAATACGTTTTGGGGAACAAAATCAGGCTTTTTAAAAGGCTAGTGCATTTGGGCAGGCATGTGAGTGCGGGAACCAAACGATTGAACGATAACAAGAACGGCTCTCACCAAGTACGACTCGGTTCCCTCGTTCATATCAAAGAGCGCGTTCAAAAGAATCGGCTCGTTCCGCGACCGAACATCACTACTTTCCATACCCGTCCACCCACCACCCCGCTCACCCCAGTAAAAACATCCCCCTACACACTTGGTTTGTAGTAGTACACCACCATGGATTAACGTGTGTTTTTTTTTAACGCACAATGTTGGGGAAATTAATGGATATAAAATGCACGGATTATTATTATTAATTATTATTATTATTTTTCCACTCCGATATCGGCGACAACTAGTTCCACCGTTTCCGCCGCAGCGAAGGCTCCCCCCCGTTGACAGTTTTACGTGGCTGGGCTGGGGGTGCCAGTGGCGGACTGGCCATCGGGACGAATCCCGATGGGCCGGTACCGAAGTGGGCCGGTCGGATAAGTCACTAGCACATCCCCCACTCCCCCCGTTGACAATTTACTAGTGGTACCGAAGTGGGCCGGTCGAGAGTCCCGGGCTGATTTTTAGTCCCAGTCCACCACTGGCTACATGACCGTATGATCGCCCATATTGACGCACCTAATTCCTAAACTTCTAACAGATACAAAATAAACCGATCCTTCAGCCTCATATGAGCTCTCAGACACGTTCAAAATTAAACTGTCATCGCTGTCTGAGCTTGCTGCTGTGTGCGCCATCGTGCGTTTACATGCAGATGCTGGGATCCTGAACGGTGCAGCTGGAGCGCTGTGCCCGCATTGACGTCACCCATAATTTGGCGGGACTTGAAGAATCCCCGAGAAGATCCAGGAAATGGTCAACATTGAAGGGCAGATTAATGGTTATCAAAGTACAAATATCCAAAATCAGTTCAGTAACGGTTTTCAAGGGGACAATATTTACTCAAATTGATGGGTTTGGATGATGGGGGAAAATCGTGTCACAGGCTCTTTAAGTGGCGCAAATTGCAAGTTGCGCAACTGATGTTATTATTATTTTTGAACGGACACTTTGACCGGAGAGATTTAGATTTGCCGGTCTTCAGCATATTTTTCCGGTCGTAGTCCGGTAATTACCGGCTAACGGGAACTCTGGTGTGTGTATGTGTGTGTGTGCGTGTGCGTGTGCGTGTGCGTGTGTGTGTGTGTGTGTTTTATCTGATCCGGATGGTTTCTAACTCCTTTTCTTTATGGCGGTCATTTTACCGGGAACACCATGGGTGTTACAAAGTTGACTAAATCATCCAAAATTCAATGAAAGTGGTGATCAGCAATTTGATATGTTCAAATGTCTACTGTGAAGGATATCATAAAGCCTTAATGCAATCAAATGCAAAACAAAAAAGTTATGATTGATGAAAGTAGTAAATTAGTCAGATTTGACCCGAAGACAACAGGAGGGTTAAGTCTCAAATTCATAGATACTCTCTCAGACATTTTTGAAGCTGGCACCAGCAAATGTCTATTTTGGCTTAAAAAAAAACGTGACTCACAGCATTTATCAATACAATTGCTGATTAATGTCCTGTCACCTGGCCAAACCATAAATCATCTCAGCACTACATCACACAACAACAATCGCTTTCACTGTGATTTATTGTTACGTTCTGAGTCCCAGCGATGATGACCACTACACAGAAACATTTTTATAATGTTGTGGAGAAAATGTTGATGCTTTGGTTGTATGTTCTTCACTCTAGTTACATTGGGAAAAAAGTACAGTACTGAACTTGCGAGCTGTACACACGTGCATCGACATTATACTCAAAAAATACTCTATACAATATATCCAACACAGTAAAGCCATGAGGCAATCACAAGCAGAGAGGAGCCACTGTCCCTCTGGTCCTTTGTTTTCAAATAAAAAAACATTAAAAGTACATCACTGAAATCCTAAAATCACCACACAACAACTGAAGGAGAAGCAATTAAAGCTACAGTACTCATTGATGAATTGCGACCTCATGATTCTTTAAGTCTACAATCAACAGTTATAAGTGCTTATATTGGAAGTGTAGTATGCAGCAGCAGCAGCAGCAGCGAGGTTGTTTTTATACTGTACTTTATAGTGACCTGGACCCAACACTATTAAACCTCAGTCAGGTAATGACTTTGGTGAATTGCTAAAGAGCTTCTGAGAAGTCAGGAAACACCCTGTGCCCACAGCTGGCTGGATTTCCAACTCAAACAGTAAGCCCCGATCACAAATATGTGATGTGCACACACCTCGGTAATCACAGTGGCTCCAAAGCGGCCGACTGTTGTTACAACACTGCCACAGAGAAGCAGAGGCAAAACATCATGTCCAGGAAGGGAAGGTAAGGTTAGGAAACTGGGGGAAAACATCTTCTGTTTACATTCAAGGTTGTTTAGTTGACATTACTGGTTCCCGCCAGTTCTTCTCAGGTTAGCTAAGGACTCATTTTTTATTACAACTTGCCCCAAAAAATAAGAAAATCTTAATAAATATAGATGTCATATATAATTAAATAAATTTAACTAACTGAACTTTTAATCCTCTGGGATTAGTTTGACTGGAAGCAATTGAAGTCCTCCTATTTAGCATTTATATCAGTATATCAACATTAAGTAGGTGGTTTATAACAGACTTTAATGTACTTGTAAGCATTTATTCATCTAATTCTCAAAAGCTATAACTGCTCCTGCAGTCACAGATTAGATGAGGCTGGTTTTTAAACAGACAATTAATGTATTTAAAGTAAAACACGGTTATAATAATATACAACATGTCTTCATAGGAGAATTATAGTTACTGTACATCAAAAAAACCTTACGGTCCTTATAGGTGTGTGTTCAACTTCTTCATAATATATTATCAGCAATGTCTTGAATGTTAATATGCTGTTTATAAATGTTAAATGACTTCAAGGAAGGTGTTGTAATTGTGCAACTCAGAAATATAATGACTATAAAATGGCTTCAGTGTATTTTCCTGTATTTTTTTAAGTCGAGCTGACTCCGAGTAGTGTTTTAAACACCAGTACGCAGATATAATTCTCAATACAACTGATCAAAAACTCTCATTATATTCCCAACAAAGATAAATACACTCCTTTTTTTTAAGGACCATTTTGCACCGAGCAGTAGTGTGAAATGCAATGTGCATAGTCCAATACATTTGTGTATTTTATGATATTGTATGTGTGCTGTTCCTGAATTGATTGTTTTACAAAACACATTTTCCATTTGAGTCCTTTGACATTTGACCAAGGGTGGGTGGAGTAGACAGAGGCATGTTTTATTTTCTATGCATGCAGCACTTGAGTTGGTGGAATATCCCTTTGTTCCCCCTTCTCTCCTACATTACAGTTCCGGACTCCTCGTCGGTGGCACTGGGGGAACGCTCCTGGAAGAGAGATAAGAGAGAAAACTAGAGAAGGTCTTTTTAATATACATATTTTTATATATAAGGGAAAAAATATGTCTTATAATACTTAAATTAACTGATGAAAATCATGGGATAAGTTTTGCAAGAGTTCCACCAAGTGAAACTGAATTACAACATAACCTCCTTGTTGGATATAATAAAGACAAATAGGGGAAATACACAGTTATTTAACTACATCCTGCATGTTTGAGCTCCTGCCGGGCTGCTGCTGCATGATGTGTTTAAAGATCAAGCAGGTAGAAACATATCAAATTCATCATTCATTCTGTACTCGATGTAAGACTCATGCAAAGCTAATATCACTCACAGCCTTAAAAATGTTCTTTCAACAAAAGAAACATCACGTGTCACTGTAACGGACCCGGGCATGTCTGACGCTCGACCAACAACCAATCACATGAATCTCCCGCCCCAGACACACAAGCAGCGGTTTGATTGGCTAGAGCTTGTACTGGCATATGATTCGATTGGCTGACGCTTCCGTCGAAGCTTCAAAAGTAGAACATTGCTCAACTTTTTAAGCGAGCAACGCTTTGCTCCCACAATGCAGTTCGGCGAAGCGTCACGTCACCCCATTCAAAGTGAATGGGCAGAAGCGTTGAAGCTTCCACGCATGCCGCCGTGTGTTGGGGCGTAAACCTAACAACAGTGCATATGAACATGTACTGTAAGTGGATCATTCAGATGTTCACCTTTGTTTATAACTTAATAACACTTTTTATTATGAAACAGTACATTAGTGTACATTGTTGCAAAATATTGTTTTAAATGTCTCCATTGCGGGACAAATACAAGATTTCTGAAAATCTGCAACTAATGCATTGAGCACAAACGCCTTTGTGGGCATTTTTAGCTTGTGCCAAACCATCCAAAGAGACCAGGTGCCACATAAGGGTCAGCAAGGCGTTGTAGGTATAATGGAAACATTTGACAGTTGTTCCCAGGTTATAAAAAAAATACAGAGACAGACAGACGGACAGTTACCTCTTCCTGCTCATCCTCAGAGTCGTCATCACTAACAACCGGTTTGGCTCTGTTGCGTCCTGTTCGTCTGCTGCGACCCTTCCCTCGATCTCCAGATTTATCCTTCTTTCCCAAACGGATCTTCATTTTCACTGAGTGTGCTGGAGACAAACATTCATGCAATGTTCAAGATATAGGATTAATTATTACGCAGTAAAAGTGTGTAAAAGCATTTCTGTGTTAGTTAGCGGAAACAAAAGTGTCTGTTTCAAGTGAAAAATGGTCCGTGAGAAAAGCACATCACAACCCATTATTCAACTTAGAAAAAACAACTCTTCACAAGGACATGCTTACATTCTGACTCTGAACCTTCTTCCAGATCATTTTCCTCTTCCTCACTCTCCTCTCCCTCACTTTCCTCCTCCTTCTCGATCTTCTGCCTCAGACTGGTAAACACTGACTGGAGGACGATGGAGTCTTCATAGATCTGCTCACGATGATAAAAACATGATAGAAAACAATTTCATTATCAATATCATGTATAAACAATTCATCTATGATTACTAAGATGTTTGCATAATGCCCTCCATGTTTCACCAATCTGACTTTTGACATTTAATTATGGCCAATAGGATATATACAAGTATTGTATATACAGTAAGTATAAGGATATATAAGTTAGACAAAGAATGTCTCTTCATTCTGTTTAAACCCGGTATTTTTGCACAATTCGAAAAAGGATAAAAGTACAGTTATAGTATTTGAAGGATAAGATTCCAGTAATGGCTGCATTGGATTTTATCTGATGAAATATTCTGCTTAAATCCATATTAATATTTTATTTTGTAACCTTTCAAAAGCATCATATAGCTCTCCTGCTCACACAGAGCTGTGGGCTTGGGCTTCCTCTCTGTCTGTGCATTCGTTGGTGTGTGTCGCTGGCTCGGCGTTGGGGACTTGGGTTTTCCAGGTGTGCAGTCCTGGGACTAATCTTGCATGAACTTCTGGGAGCTTTTAGTGAATGTAGGAGTTTCTCAGGCTCCGGCAGCAACTTCGTGAGCGGTGGCAAAAATGCACCGTCTGATCATCGGTGCCATCGGGCATTTTTCGCCCCGATGGCACCGATGATCAGACGGAGATGACATGATTTGACAAGATGCCCTCACGATGGCCTTACGAAGGGCAAAATGGACACACGAATTCAACACGAAAATTAACCTTCGCAAGGTACTTCGGCAATTTTTTGGCATGCCAAAGATTTTGCCACCGCTCACGAAGTTGCTGCCGGAGCCTGAGAAACTCCACCGGCGGTCATACGATGGCTTAAGATGCCCTCACGAATGGCCCGATGTTGTTACGATCAGAGCCGAATTTGAAAATGTCCTTTATCGTGTGTCCATCTGGTGTCAATTTCGGGACAGTGTGACAGGGGCTTCACACAATTATTCAATCCATGTAATGATTTTATTCACATTATGAATTTTGGTGAAGGATTGCTTTTATGTTATTGCTGAGGTCATAAAATATGCTTACAGACATTTAAACCTTTATTCGAAAACCTCAATAGCAGCTTCAAATAAAAAAATAAACACTTGACACAGCTGGTGTTAACTGGACAGGACACAGTAGAGCAGGCGTGTTTCTGTGTCCATCAGTTGTGACTCACCAGGGATCCCTCCAGGTTGAAGGTCTGAGCGTTTTGAAAGAGCAGCATGACGTCTCGCTCCAGGTCACCCATACTGCGGTAGTGATGTCCTCGAATCTTCTCCTACAGAGCAGACACAGTATGTTAATCACTGAGTACATATGAGAAAGTAACACGTAACTTTTATCTGTCTGCTGTACATTTCGTTGTTGTTTTTGGTTGTTGTATGGTTTATACTTTGCTGCTGCAGTGACCGACTTACCTCGACAGAATCATTATTTTTTTCAGATCTAACCTTGATCTTTCTGAAGTCCACAGGCTTGCGGATCAGTTCGTAGTACTCTGGAAGCTCCTTTCGAGACGGCAGCTGGATGAACACTTCGCTTAGCTGACGACCACTGGCGCTGCAGGACATTACATCATCAGGATGAGACAAAACACCTTCATCAACAACTGAATGCTCCCCATGAGTTGTTCAATTCATTGTTTCAGATTCCCCTTTGTTTCACTTATTTTAATCAAACACTACAGGTGAGAGACAACTTTATAATCACTCTTATCTATTAACTAAAAGGTTTAAGCATAGGAGTTCAGATAAACGACTGTTTGCCTCTGTCTAATCAATACAATGCTTTAAATAATCATACACACAAAACATTTTTGTAACCCAAAACCGCCCAAACATATTAAACCCACTTAATTAAAAGGCTAAAATTTCCAGAATTAAATCTATGAGTCTGCGTACTACAGTATGAATTTAATCATACATATCTCAGGAAATGTGCATTGTGAATACTTTATGCTGACTCTCTATGGTTAAATTAAGTATAAGATCAATTCTTTTTTTTACATTTAGTTGTCCTGAAACTCAAAAAAGTATGGTCACATGAGTGATTGGTCAGTAACATCTTGCTACATCTTTTTTTCCCCCAAAAAAATAACATGTGAGCTACCTGTCTTTATACTTGATGACAGCATCTACGATCTTCCTCATCTTCTTTGAGAGGAAGGGGTGGTTGGGGGAGAGTTTATCAGCAGGTGGTCGCCCCCTCTTCCTTTGCCTCTTCCCGTCATCATGCTTGTCCCCTCGCCCCCCCAGGGAAGAGGAGGGACCGGGGAGGTCCAGGTCGCGGTCTCTCTTCCTCTTGCGGGTGGTCTTCTTGTGCCTTACCTCCTCCTCCAACTCATCTAGTTTGCCTTCCTCTATTGCCTGCATGGGAAACACAGACTGAGAGATAGAAATCACAAAGGAAGAATCAACTTCATAAAGCATTTTGTATTTTAAATTTGACATCTGTTATTCTGCTCTTCCCTAATTACCTTGAGCCATTGCTTCTCCGTCAGTGAGTCGCTGTAGTCCACCTCCTTCCGCTCTCGAGACCCTCTTCCAAACAATTTCTCCTCTTCCTCCTCGCAGGTCAGACGTTCAACCTCAGCATCGTCCTTCATGATCCAAGTGGGCAGCTCGTCCTCCTCCATCAGACGAGGTTTTCTCCGCGGGTTACGGGCTTCCTCACGACGGCGGTCAAGGTCCATACGCTGTGGGAGGGAGAGATTGAAAAAAGGTCAACAGAAGTTATATGTAGGGAGAAGATTTTGTTCAGTGCTGGAGGTGAACACTTTAAAACTATCTTTAAAACACTGACCATGAACTGGTCGAACTCGTCCTCACTCCTGGCGATCATCTGGTTGACCGTCTCGTCGTCTGGCACCTCATCCTCCTCCTGAAAACAGTGACCACAGGTTGGCAGGCAGAGTAGAAGCAAGTTGACTCTTTTAAATGTTGTGTTTCAGGTGCATGCACGCACACACACATTAACTCGTAGACACACTTCCTGATCCCCGACCTCGTCTTGCTCCTCGTGTTCCAGGATGGCCTGCAGGAAGGCCCTGCGCTCGTGGCTCGAAGACTTCTGGTCAAACATGCCAGCCTGAATGACCTTTTGGTCTACGTTCAGTTTGTATTTGGCAGCAGCCAGGATTTTCTCTTCGACGCTGTTTACCGTGCACAAACGCAGCACTCGCACCTCGTTTAGCTGACCAATACGGTGAGCTCTGTCCTGAGCCTGCAGGTCCTGGAGAGGGATAAAGAGCAACATTTGAACCTACACTTATTCTCTGTATCAGGACCAAGGAGGGTTAGTAACAGTCAAACTACATGTGACACTGTAGTGAATGCTCACTGCTTTGGCAGTCTGTCTATCCTGTTGGAAAAATCTAATCAAATGCAATTCAAATGAAGGGTATAATCTAATAAACTTTACAGCAAATGAAGAGCTGTGTACACGGTTTTTGATTACATAAAGAAAATTAAAGTCACACGCCTCTGCTCTATCTATTTTACCTTTACAAATCACAGGTGAATCTTGATATTTCAATCATATTCTGAGCCACAAAGGACCGTCAATTAGCATTCACAGAGCCAAAGGTAAACAGCCATCCTATATTTCCTGCTAACTGAGCACTTTCATATGTTGAATGGCAACAGTTACCCTTTTACAGCATCTTGTATTTGCTTTTTCAAATAATATGTTGAACTATCATGCAAAATGCACTTCTTCATGTCTTTTATACATAAACATGTGTCCCCTCTTTGTAAAGAGATTCTGAACGTTTCAGGAAAAAAAGATTAGTTCACTTTTTGTCCTGATCCATTTATATAAAAAATATAAAATGAGTCTGAAAATGAGCTGATCAGATTTTGGCCACTTTATGATGTCATAACGATTTTTTGGCTTGTGTAACCATTAGCCAATCACCAGCCAAGGTAACCCCCCCCCCCCACCTTATCACCTGAATCTCCTCCTAGAGCACCATTGTGTACTTTTTAACCAAATATCTCGCAGAGGGGCGTGGGGAGTGGCTCCTTATTTTCATTTAAAGTAACAGACAGAGAATCAGCACTTTTGAAACTGGGCTGAAACAGAGGGGATTATGGGATTCTACAATGATCTGTTTTGGTATTTGGAGCCAAACACTTCAGAGACATGTTTTGTATATATCTGAGACCTATAATATATTGATGAAAAACAGTATAATAGGGGAGCTTTAAATAAAGTGCAATAAATCATGGTGCCTAGAAAAAGGTTAATTTTGATATAAGCTTGGTTTTTTATTTAATGGCATCATTTGTTATCTAAAGTACATGTGTGTACCTGATGTGGGTTCCAGTCAGAGTCAAAAATAATCACAGTGTCCGCAGACTGCAGGTTGAGGCCGAGGCCTCCGGCTCTTGTGCTCAGGAGGAAGATAAAGTATTCTGACCCTGGTTCATTAAAAGTCTTCAGTAACATTCCTCTATCATCAGCCTTTGTGCTACCTGAGATTTAAGGGAGTGAGGAGAAGAGAAGAAAAGCACATGAAGGAAAAACTAAAAACAAGCTGATTAGAAAGAGGAAAGGAAGAGATTTCAGGAAAAATAATGAATAAAATATAAAAAGAATAAAGGATAAATTCATGAGTAATCTGTCTCACCATCCAGGCGCAGATACTTGAAGCTGCGATAAGCAAAGTAGTCCTCCATGATGGTCATGAGAGAGGTCATCTGACAGAAGAGCAGCACTCTGTGGTTTGTGGCGTTGAGCTTTGGCAGGATTCGATCCAACACCTCAAACTTTCCTGATGCCCGATACAGGTCAAGACTGACGTAAAGGTAGGTGTATGGGTTACAAGGGTTACGGTTAGTGTGAGTGATCTTAACCTTTCAATGGAATCAGCACTTACCCCTGGACTATCCCACCAGAGAATCCTAAATGTTCAGAGAAAGATTCCTGCAAAAGCAATCAACAATGTTTTCTGTAATTTAGTCAAATACCCTAAGTCAATACTGCATTACTGCTACAAATTCAGTCTTGTGTGAAATGTGAAAGCTTTGCTATACAGTAGGAAAAAAATGTTTTTGATGCTGGCTTTATGAATTTTGTACATAATAGGATGTTTAAAATGTTTTTGTATCCCACTCCTCAATAGTACCTCTATTTGATGAAACATGTACGGGTGGTTACAGATCTTCCTCAGCTGCATGATGGTGTTCATCAGTGTCTTTGTGCCTCCTTTACCCTGTTAAACACAACAAGACCAAATGTACAGCTTGTAATCACAGTTTTATACTTTCAATCATTCAGCATTTATGTATTTAAAGTGGACCTATCATGCTATATTTGAATAATATATTGTAGGGCCATACCTATATAAAACATGTCTGTGAAGTTTTTTTTTCAAAATACCAAACAGATCATGCATTTTAGCCATGGCTCATTTCGCTCTATTTGCTCTATTCTAGCCCTGCAGCCCCTCTC